TTGGTCACACTAAATCAAAGCATATGGTTTCACAATCCCGAAGTAGAGATTAGGCCGGACGAATGGATTTTGATTGGAACAAGAGCAAATTACGTAGGTTCGTCAGCTATTGCAGATTATCAGTTTTGGAACAGTGTTTAGGCGAAAATCACTACTTTTTTGTTTACCAATAATCCTATTTTTAAAGCCATTTTCAGTAACGACATTAGAGTTCAAAAGACAATGTAGTAAAATACTGTAACTGAACTAGATTTTGATTAGACAGTTTTCCATGTTACAGAATCTCAACAGCACAGTAGTGTGAACTAGTTTTAAATTTGCTACGAAATCACTTGATTTTGAGCGATCACTACAATCATTCTAGATTTTGCTATTTTCATTAATGTTTAGTATCGTCTTATAAACATGAGGATATGGTTTATTCTGTTCATCTGCCAAGATTTTATATCATTTAATTAGAAAACAAATTGTGCATCTTGAATTGTTGAAGTCACGTGAACTACAGGCAATCATTTATTATAGTATGCAAAAAAATTGTAGATACGGTGTAACAACCCATCTATATGAAGAACTGGGTTAACAGAAAACCACTGCCTAATTGTGATTATTGATTCGATCTCATATAGGAGTGTTTATAAAAGCTTGCAACTCATGATTTATATTAATGTATAACCTTTCACAGTATTTTTTCTGAAAATTCTGTGATTTACTTAACTTTATGTTAGGAAATTTTCTAGGTCTTTAGTCTGCTCAAGTTTTGTAAAACATTTTGTTAACCTTCTTTGATGGACATTCAGGATTGCTATCTAACCATCTAAATTAAAACCCTGTTTTTTGGTGTGCAGGTGGCGCTTTGACACTTTCATATGGAGACATTTGGAATAGAGAAGGCTGTCTTCTGGCTAGCATGGCTCAACAAGGCTTGGTGCGGACCCAACAAATGACACCAGTCTCATCCTATACATCAATGAGTGAACTAGCAGAACAAGCCGAGAAATAATCTTACATCCATATAGGCACCTGACTTCAAATTTTATTATCTTTTTGTATATCTTAATTCCTGTCATGGACATATATATCTATGCAACATTCCTCAGCACACAAAGAAGTCTCTTGATATTATGTTCTGGCTATATCGTACTTTTTAACTATAGTTGTGATATCGGTGCTGTGATTCTCTGATTAATATGTTTGCAGTATTTCCCTCATAACTGTTATTCACTACTAAATTACAACGAATTGAATGTCCTTTTAATATTTTCCTCATAAAAGCTCACAAGCCGTTCCACTTCAACAGTGAAGTGACTTTCGGTTAGATTATTGATTAAGGCTATTCATACTAAGTGCTTTTTCTAACCTTCTGTTCAGTTTTTACTAAAGTGAATTGAGCAAGCAGTATCCTTCTTTGATAGGTGGATGAAAAGTGAAGTTACTAGCCTTAACTCCAAATTTATATAAGTTCTTCCAGATTAATGTTAGTCACGAAAATCATTGACACATATCCTTATGCAAAAATTCAAACCAATATACATAAGGAAACATGGTGGTTAGCAGTGGGATCTAGGACAAGCGTTTCGTCCTATTTGGGACTCGCCGGCTGGATGTACATGCATCCTAGAGTTGTTGTTCACTCCGGGACTGGAACCTAGTACCGTTCGTTTCAAATGCCATCAAGTTATCCACTTAGCTACTGAGTCCTGATAGCTACTTGTTTGTGCAATGAGGTGAAGTTTAAATTCACTTGGTATTGTTTGCTTGAATCTTCCCATTGATCAGTGGCAGTCCTAAACATCAATGAGAAGATTCGAGCAAACAATAGCAAGTGAACAAATATACGTCGCTCAGTTCAAAGCACGAGGTGAAATCCGGTTGGTATCCAGAAGCTAGGATCAATGAGACACTATCTTATCACATATTAGCAATAAATTGCAAACATCTAGTGAAATATTTTTTATGCATGCAAAACCTATTGATCGGATATGATTCTATAGTCTTGTTTTCTCAAAATGCTCCAGCAGACTATGTTTATTTGATATAGCTTTCGCGGTCAGCCGATAATGGTGTGGTAACTAGGATGATTATTTGGATTCATACCAACTTCTAAACTTTTGTACAATAAGGCTATACATCTTCCGATGTTTTTTTACAAACTCAGTTCTCTATTATCGTAGCACCTAAATTATTGTTTGGATTCAAGTATTGATTGAAAATATATTGTTTTGACTTTTAAGTCCATCTTTTTACACCATGTTTGCGTTGTAATATACGGAAGGAATGCATATCCGTACTATCAGTCTTAATAAGGTCTAATAAATGTAAACTGGCAATCTTGATTCCCCAGTTGTGTATTTGAGACAAACGCGACCCCGATCTCGTTCGACCTGATCATCTAGATACACAACCAAACACTATCTATCCCTCTTCATAAACTTAGAGTAGTTCCATGAATCGAAATTAAGTCATTCCATTTCACGAAAACGTGAACATGTAACTCTGCCCCTGAATGGAGTTCACCAAATCGGCAGTTATTTCTTTTATACGAAACTTGGATCGTAATCCAAAATTCGATTCAAATCCCTACTTTTTTTTTACAAGTTTTGGCAGATTAACGCTCTATCAATTTTCTTATTCTCCAATAGATTATGCAGCGAGACTTCTTCACATTTTCAGCTTTCAACTCTGCTAAGTACTTAAAAAGAAGCAGAACATACCACTTTACTTGTTCATCAAAGATTTGATTGATATGAAGTCCTATGAAACAAACACCTAAGTAATCCTTTATAGTAATTTTTGCTTCTTTTACATTCAGTCTAAGTAGCCTAGTAACCAAGACTAGGTGTTCAATTACGAAATAAGAATTGCACCTTTTTTACCCGATCCAAAAAGCGTTACTTGTGTTGATTGAGTCCCATAGTTCATATCCCCAATATTGATGATATCGGAACGAGGCAACCAAGTGACAACTTTGTGTAGCATTTGACAGCTTCACTTAACCCCTAAAATGTGACTGGAACGTATTAACTCGTAGGTGCTTCGCTTATTGTGTGTGTTGAAACTACCGAATAAGGTGAAGAGTAGAATCTAAAAAAATGAAGAACGGACCCGTTGGTGATGTGAATTCTCGTAAATATGAGAAATACATCAGCGATAAGGGGAATGGTCGCATAAGATACATAGCCGGGGTTATCTAGATTCTAAAAATCAGGAAATGGGAACAGATTGACGTGGTCCAAAACTAGCCACCATGTAGTACATAAATGTCTGTAGTATCGGCTGCTATTTTTAAGCCCACTAACTCATTCTAGCTTCCGAACAAGCCGATCTACTCACCTTTCTTGAGCCACATTTTGACCTTATTAATTATTCGCTTATCAAGTTTGACTGTTTTTATATATTTGTTTAAACACATAAATATTGGTACAAGAAGGCACCAAATAGATATGCGTCATATCAATCATTCGATTTGTGAGTGCTGGGATAATGACCGGATGCCCAGACCGAAGCAGGTGGTTTTCTTCGGGGGCCATACTCCGAGACTTCGACCTAAAGATCTGATCCACAAGGCAATGGAGCAACGGCACGGAACGCAGACCCATGGTAGCTGGTGACCAACGATTGATTCATACGCCATTTGTTCCTTCAAAATACTGGAGCCCATATGCACCATTGGTTTGGAACCAGGGTTTTCCAACCCCCCTAGGTGAACTCCGTATCCACCAGCCCGTCTAAAGCACCTGACATTCGATTTTCATCCTATCAGTTTCGTAAACAGCACCACTGGTGCGAGCAGGCAGTGAGTAAAACTTCCCTGGCTCTATACGCTTGGCCATGTGCAAGGAATTGGAAAGGGAGAGTTAACTCTACCCACCCTTGGCCGTACCAGGGCATTAATCTTTTTATAACTGAAATATAAGGCACTCATATTTCATTCAAGTGATCTTAGGTTCTACGTATATCGACTTAATCCACTTTAGTGAATAACAGAATTAAATAAGTCAAACACGAAAATACATTTCGAATACATATATTTCATACAATTGTCGATCCAGACAAATTGTCGGAGAAACGAAGCGAAAAGAATGAAGTGAAATGACGTGCAGTGTAGAAGGCATGTGAACCAAATCAATTTAATCAAGCGTTATTGAACATTTATAGCCTAACAAAAATAAGTTACAGGCTTGTCATGAGTAGGTACCTCCTCCAGAGGATAAGAAGTGTACACACACATACGTTCATATAAAAACAGTCAGGGTTGATAAGCGAGTAATCAACAAGGTAAAAACGTGACTCAAGAAGAATGGATTAATTGGCTTGTTCAGAAGCTATAATTTCGTAAACAACGCCCCTGCCGCGAGAAGGCAGTGAATAGGACTTCCCTGGCAGTGGTTGTATGAACGTGGCCATGTAAGAGCATTTCGAGATGGAAAGCTGACCCCCCACTCCCGGCCGTACCGGGGCATTTGAGGGGAGTGTATGTATGCATTTCTTATCTTACTCGTCACATGTCTGTGTGGCCATAAATATCGAATAACGCTTGATTAAATCGAGTTAGCTCACACGCCTTCTCCACCGCGCATCATTTTGCTTTGCTTTCTTCCCTTCGCTTCGTACCTCTGATTGTCCGTCCAGATCAATGACTGTAGGAAATATACGTATTCAAAAACCCACTCTCGTATTCAGCTTATTTGACTCCGTTATTCACCAACACGATTCAAGTCGATGAGTATATACGAGGATTGGCGATGTATATATTTCGACGGCAATCATTCAATAACAATCAATCATACGATCCACTTGGGGTCAGATATCGGGCCATTAAATATCTCAATTTTCCTCTTAGGACTCATATCCCTCTGTAATACCAAACTATTCCGGTTTATTTTAATCTAAATTAATGTTAATAAGATTTTTTTGTGTAAGATTGTGTACGCTTCAAAACAAATAAGCTTGTAGAGAAATATGAATATTTCAAAGCACAGTACATTTATTTACATAAAAGATCACAATATATTTATGTCGAAATATTTTTTTCCGCTTTTGCACACTACATCTGTAACTTCATGGGATATTTGTTTAGATTCTACAAATATTACTTTTCGCAGATCCATCTTTATGAATAATTCATAGAAAAATGTTGTCTTACCAAAAAATTGTTTAGTATTTCTGTTGAATACTTCTTACGAACATCCCCATTACACCACAAAAAACTCATATGGAATTTAGGATTCTGAAGAATGATAGGGAAATTGATTGTCTTACTTCATAATACTTTGGCCCTCTAAACGCAGTGACACATGAATCAACAGAATTGAGTAGAGAGATCAGTGCTATACGTGACTCTTCAGAAGTTACTAAAGTGAAAAAGGATCTACAGATTATAAGCAGTAGAAAATGAGTACCGTGTGTTTTCTTCATTTACAAGAACTTCTACGCCATCAAGCGCAATCCAGAACCTAAAATCGCCTAACTATGCACGAAGTATTCTTACTTTCCAAAAGAGCTTACAGCAGAACGAAGATTACAAACGAGATTTTCAATCCAATGAAAATAAATAGGCCATGTCTTCGACAAACTTATGTGAGGAGAATCCACAGTATAACAATCACCCATTACAGGATTTGATTGAACTACGGGGTCTTTGATCGCCTCAAGTATTCTAGAATGCAAATGAGAACCTTGGTACAATACAAGACGTTGTTGTGATTACATGCAATATACACGGAGGTGGCCCAACTCCCAGGTTCATGAGGAAAAGTTCTACTACGGAAATCATGCTTCGAAGGATCATCTTCACGAACAAAAAAACGAAAGGAATCAGAATTTAAATCTTGAAGTATTGTAGGCAGCTCCAGTTTTTCAGTTTCTTCTTCATCACTAGATGAATATTCAACCAATTGTGTGTTCATACTACACTGAAGTCGTAAAGAACATACGCAAGTTAGGTGTATTTAATTGAATGATGAATTGCACACAGTCACATTCACTAAAACAAGATGGCAAACAAATGATAAATAATGGAGACAAAAATACAGGGAATAAAGGATATATAATGCCATCCATAAATACATGCAGATGTGCACGTTAATCGCTAAATTAACATCAATAGTTGATGCAGTAGGCCAATGGGAATTCTAATTTACTCATCTCTAGTGCAAACATCATTTACCCTACATTTTCACTTGAGCCAAAGTAGGTTGAGTTTATATGAATCAACAAACTAAGTATAGTAAGATTGCAAAACCGCAGTTTCACACTTATGCTGTCACAATAGAACCACATTATTTGACTACCACTAGTGAAGTTCAATGAAATAGCTATTCTCTTCAAATTGTTGTGGAACGAATAGATTTCGTTTAACGAGGTCCCGTATCTAGTAGCCGTCGATCATTGACACTTCCAAGTAGGAACCTAGGTATACTTACAAAACAAAAGAGAAGTATTAGTTGTGAAAAAAATATTATCCTGAGTCCCTAAGAATACGTTAAGGTTCCTCTTGATGGACCCCCTAGAAGTCGCTTTGACCACCTCAGTCGGTATTAAAATCCAGGATTCGACTAATCACACAGATTAAAAGGTAGACGTATAGTCCATTCTCATATGTTGCATCTTTAACTTCTGAATGTTACACTTAAAGTTTGTGTTTTGATTGAGCTTAAGTAGGTTAGGGGATGCTCAGCAGTAATTAAGATGTTATAGGTCACTAGGCCACTTGTGAGACGCCTATACCCTGATATGTGAAAATTAAGTGGTTTGAAGTGCTCTTCATAGGGTTTGAACCTGAGTCCCCGAACTGATTTCGTGGCTCTACTTTGGATACGCTTCAGTGCATTCTTATCCTTTTGGAGTGAGAGAGGAAACACTATGTTCTTATAGTATGAGTGAGGCCAATTAAAATTGTTGCACCTTCAAATTCGCCTAAAATGCTTGTCCGTGGTATGATCGTAAGGCACTTTTGTCGTAGTTAGCGTAAGACTTGAGGGTGAACATTCCAGTCCACCTGCCGTAGATTGCTCAAACACCTGTTGTTGGTAGAATGTTTTAGCTTAGTATCGCTAATAAAACTGAGTCATGACGATGTAACCACTCCCCCTTATGACGGCCAGGATTAGGAAATCTCTGAACTAAAACTAACCACGTAAACCTAAGAAAGTAAATTGAGGCAAAACTACAGTTAGCTGCTGATTCGGACAAATCTCGAAGGAAATAAGTTACGGATCGTTAGGCAGAAAACAGATCTTTGGGGGTCGAAAATAGCACTTTTGTTGCGTAAAGACACCGAGTTCGAAAATTAAAAATCACGTGAGTATCACACTTCCTGTTCACAAAGCGCGCGGATTTGCTTAGTTCTTACTGTCAATTGAAAGCATTATTTCACATGTTTTGTTTCCTTATAGCTGTGCTGATGAGAATTGTAACAACTCTGATCACAATCCGTCTTCGTGTAAACTGAAAACTTACTGAAGGCCGTTTTTGTAGTCCCGCCAAATACTTTAGGATTGAAATCAGGCGACTGAAATGGTAATAGATAGAACAGAAAACTCTTTTACTTGATGTGCTACCATGTCTGGACAAATTATATCAAAGTGGAGACACGTATGTTTTTGCAAAAACGAGTTCTTCGGCGTTTTGAGGCATTTGACTTACGTTGCTTGTATCATACTAGGAGCTTAGATTTAAACTCAGATTTGACGGTTCAAGCAATATTTAGGTTTCTACTGTAGGTCTTGTCAGCAGACGTTTTGTTTTTTGTTTATAATTATTTGATCGCACTCACCATTTTCTGTTCTTTTTCTTAGAGTTGGATGTATTGCCTTAACTATCACCAGTTAATGTTAGTTATTGGTACATTTTCGTAGTTATAGTAGTTACTACACTTATTGGAAATTGCTTAGAAACCAAAAAGGTTATCGTGTGCAAGTTAGCCTTGCTCTTATTCATAAAATAGCAATTTCAAAGCAAATTGACAAAAATGGACATCATATTGCTAGGACTAACACAGGCCATCAAACGTCGTGTCCATTCCAACCCAAAACTGATGTTAAACAATTCATGTAACATTTACAACTCGAACACTCATATACGACCAGACCAGTTACCCGAAAATTAATTGAAGTGAAAGAGTGGTCTTACTGATCGAAACGGCGAGACAAATCGTAGTATTTTTAGGTAGTGAGGGTTTGGATGTCAGTAGCTCTATGATGTGTATGGGTAGCGTTGGTGATAATTTCGGTCATCACTCTCCAGTAATAAGAATGATAGGTTGGTGGACTTATGTTAATCTCTTCAGTCGGTTTTCGAGTGAAGGTCTAGCTTCTCCATGAAAATATTCACTGATGGCGCTGATACCACTTGTTCGGGTGAGGCGTTACTGTCATTAACCACTCGATGAGAAAAACGGAACCGCACCCTCTTATTATTAGATCAAATTTGTGAACCTTCTTGTTACAGGCTCGAAGATCGTTAGGGCTGGAGGGAGCAGAAAGATAGGACTTTAGAAAGACCTTTCACCAATTTTGTTCCCACACGCTGAACACGCTCAAGTGAGTTGGTATGCTGAATCAGATATGGACCAGATGCTTGAACACAGTAATCTAAGTGTGATCTTGCATAGGTGGGATATAAAATTCGAAACATCTAGTCAAAGCATTTGAATACTCAGCAAAGCGACCATAATGCACCGAAACCTATGGTGGTAGCAGCGTTGTATTGCTTTGCAAACCGCAGGAAAGGAAACAATGTTTTATCTAAAAGATCACTTTAGCATAAAATTGAGTACATAGGAGGCGCAAAATAGTGAATCTCGTGAGACAAACAGCTGTCTATTAATGTGGTAGTGATCCTAGGGGCAATATATTGTAGTCAAATTTGTCTTGCCTACAACTTTATCTCAAGTCACATCTTTACATGTAGTAAGGCTAATTGCCTTCACATAGTTGGGGATTTCGACGCTTCATATATCAGTTAGTTACAGCTTACAATTTCAGTTAGATGATTTGACATCAGCCTGCAGTAAATTACTATTAAATGCGCACTAGCACAACGCGTTCACATGCCAATACGTCGTACTTTGTCTTTGTATATCATTGTGATGGTGTAACAGACATTCCGCTTCAACCCACACTTAGACACCATGACCGAGTTGTATTTTACCCTCGGATTTTAACAAACAAAACGTTGTATGAATTGGCTACGTCCTGATCCGTTATTAGGTTGGATGCCATTCCGGTAAAGCGTCTCTAATTCCAATAAATTGATCAGTCAGTAGAAATGAATTGATTGAGGATAATTGGAGTACGTTTGGTGATAAACTCGAGATCTAAACAGTACCGTTCATCCTTTGAACAATTGCACGTAAGCTGTGACATAATCTTTCAGGCGTACCTCCACTTGGAATTCATCTATGAACTGTCCTCTAGGCATAACTTTGCAGTGCGATCTGTCTTATAATTTCCGGATTGTGTTGACGGTATTCTCAGGTACATCATAGTGTCGGAGAAGGTTCCATTGGGCTCTCCTGTTCACGCTGTCAGGAAAGTTGACGTGTAGTGACGAGTTCCATTCAACTGACCGCTCAACAACGATCCGTGCAACGATTTGGTTTGTGCACGACCCATCTTTTTGGAATCTAATCTGTTACTTTCGAAGTTGAGCTTCTACTGAATCTTTCATTCCGTTCAACAACTCTGTTTAAAACTATTCCTGGTATCGATAATGGTGTGATACTTCAGCAGCTTTCACACATGTTCAGAACTCCTTTCCTTGGTATCTTGGTGAGGTGTCCACTTTTCCAGTCTGTCGGTACATGTTCTTCCCCTAAATCTTTCTGAATAGAACTTGTAACATGTTTTGAATTGCCTCTATGTCTGACTTCAGTGCTCCATTTGGTATGTTGTGTGAATATGCCGCTTTCCAACTGTTCATTTGTCTGATGACCAGCGTGATTTCGCCTATCATTGGTAGAATAACAGTTATAAGATGATCTGTGTGTGCTGTTATGAAGTCCTGTGGGTTCAGTGAAGCTGATTTATCCAAGAGTTCTTAAAAATACTCTGCCCACCTGTTCCTCTGTTCTTGAACCTCAGGGATTGTCTTACATTCTAGCGTCAATCTACTTCCCTGTATCTTCTTTGTCGCATAAAATAATCCTTGCATATTTCCTCCTCTCGCAGCTTTTTCGGTTCCCGTTGCCAGGTCTTTCATGAATTTATATTTGCCGGCTGCAATGCTCTTTTTCAGGTGCTTGTTAGCTCCCGTGTAAGTGGTTTCAGAGCTAAACAACTCAAGAATAATAGTTCTGTAGGTCTACGACATTGATGCTAACGTCATTAGTTTTGCTGGGCGCACATAGCTGGAGGCGCTTGTTCACACATCCACATCAGAACACCAAATTGTACGCCGTGCTACGCATTCCTTGCATTTAATAGCCAGCTCAAACAAGGCGCTTCTCAGTATATTGATAGCCTTCCAACTATGTATTCGAAACCCTTCATTTATGACTTCTGGTTTGACTGAATTGGTTTAATTTGACAAGGAGGGAGGGTGGCGTTGCTGGCCAGCAAACATGATGGTGGAGAGATAACTCCAATCCACCAATGTCTGTAGGGCAGAACATTTTGTTTAATTACGGCTCCTTATGGTTTAGTGGGATGTCACGAACTTAAGGTATTAATGCTGATTCATCATGCAAAATACCTCATCAAACTGTGTTACGAACATTGAATTGGTTTCACTTCCTACCCAGTAATCCTATTACAAGCAAACTAGACAATTCGATAATATACGAAGCCTACTCAAGACCCTATGATACCTTAAAAAGAATAATAATACAAAAAATGTAAAGGGCTCCAATGGCTTCGACAAAAAAAGAAAGATAGTCAATTTTATATCACAATACTGTTTTCAGCACTATATTTTATAACCACATATAATCCAATACTCTCAGTTCCTTTCTGAATCGTCTCCATTTGTCAGTTTTATATCCACTCATACCATGTGTACACTTATTTTCTTTAACCTATTAAAATGCTCTTGCTTAACAAATACCTTAATAAAAAAATTAGACTGAGTAATCATACCTTAAACATTCCTTCATGAGTATTGGCTACTCTGCTGCTCGTCCTTTCTTTTACTTGCTCCCTCTTTCAGCCCCCTTGAGATATGTAACTGGTGACTTCATCCTGCACCATCCTTAAAGCCTTAGACATTATAAAGGGACATAAGGTTGCGACGTTTAGAAGCTCCCACCTTCAATGGACCTACTCTTGACCATCAGTTGCACATTTGCAACGCAACTTTCATGAAGCGCGCCAACTGTGATATTGACTAAAACCATCTACATTCATATCTTATAAATTATCAACCAAGCTGAGTGATTTACTACAGTGGATACTGTATCAATTTGATCTTGCCTGTAAACTGGTATGCCTCATGTAACAAACTGTTATTTGAGAATAAATTATTATTATTGTTAACTATCTTGCACGTAAAACCCTAATAGTAAAACTCTTAATAACTGTGGCACCTTTATTGGTGAGCGATACGTGATCTGGTTCTCCGATTCATGGGTCTTTTCCTTGTTTGAACATCATATATCATATTTTCATCTTTTATTTTTACTTATTGGGTCACTGTTTTCATATTTTCGGATATTCTTTCTAGTCCACTGATATATTTTATCTTCATCATGAGAGAACAGACATGTAATTTACCTGTAGTCAAGAATCTTACTTCTCCTTTATCTCAACTCATGCCATTCTGGAACGACAATACCGAAGCCTGGTTCCGCCACACATAGGCTAGCATCCACGAGTACAGAGTGACAGACACACGTGCACAATTCATCGCAGTAGTGAAAGCGCTACCACGCATTTTAAATGATTGTCACACCTAGTATTTTTACTAATGGTGTTCCTCAACTTCACGAATCTCTGAAGAACACCATTCTTAAACGTGGAGACCTAACCAATCGACAAACGCTAGACCAACTTTTCAACAACATCGGGCTGCGACATGGCTCAGAAACAGAGATGCTGCTACGTATGCGGGAGTTCATCGGCCAACGGAACTTTGATTAAGACCTGTCTAGACAGCTTTTCTTGTCTTAACTTCCACAACAAGTGTAGACATTCCTTGTCTCGTTTCAAAATAACGTCACAGGTGGAACGACTGCATCTGTCTACTGAATTCTGGAGAACCTTCAGCGTCAAGATTTACCCTGTAAACAGAAAGTTTCAAACAGCACAAAATGACGTCGCAGACCTCTATCATACATATTCATCATATTCATCATAGCCTTAGAAGTTCCCAAACTCCTCAAAAAGACTTTTAACGAAGATCTGTCTCCAGACCACGAGAGACAGATAATATAATATATTTCTGCAAGGGCATGTGCACGCCATTTTAACAGGCATGATCTACAAATTACGTTTATTCGTTCACAGTGTGCATGTTAAATAAATATAGTCTTCAAAAGCAAATATCAGT